CTGCCGCCGCTGCCGCTCTAGCACAGGCGGAGACACAGAGACACACAGACTCTGCGAGCAGTTTTCGTGCAACTCAAAATTAGCGCGGGCAGGTTTAACATCGATAATCGGCTGCGAAATGATCCCGGCAGCCGGGGGCACAGCCTCGGCCCCGTCGCCCTCGGTTTCTACGGCTAACAAAAGAAAGCAGGACCTGTCTCCAAATAGCCATCTTAGGCTTCAAGGCTAGGCAGAAGCTGTAGGCCTCAAAGAAGGGCCTATGGAGATGGATAGATCTGGGAGAGGGATCGGAATCGGCCCCGGCCCGGGCCCCCCCAGAACCTGCGGACGTCGCTGTCCGGAACAGTATTGATCCTTTTGAACTTTTTTTTTTTTTCTTTAGTGGAAACGGACCGCGTTGAGATTTAAAAGGGGGCGACAGAGGGACTTGCGATTGGTTATTGTCCGGGCTTCAAAAACAAAACAAACCCACCAAACCCCCCTCCCACCCCCCAAACAAAACAAGTGCTGTTAAATACCGGGCTCTCGGGTGCAAAACACAGTGATTCGAGCAGCCCTGGCTTAGTAACTCTTACGGATCGAGCCCCAACACCCACTGATGCCCGAGGTCTCTACAGATCTCTGTAGAATGGGTATTTATTTCACAGTGAGGGTAGAGTTTTCTTGGATTGTGCACTTTCAGACAGATGTGGCTGTGTTTTTAACAGGTTTCTGAGAAGAATCAGTGGGGAGAAATTGTTGAAGAGTTCAACTTTCCCAGAAGTTGTTCTAACGCTGCCTTTGCTTTAAAACAGTATTACTTGCGGTGAGTAGTAGTGACTCTTCCACAGTATTTGGAAATAAGGGGCTTATGGGGAGATTTGTTTTTAGCAAAAAAACCCCCAAAAACAAACCTTGCACACCAAATGGTTTCTAAACTTCTGTTAATTTCAGTCTGAGGAACATTAAATATCCGTCAAGTGAGGTTGTAGGAAGGTGAAAGTTTTCCTCACCTATTTTAGGATTGTTTACATTTTTCATACAGAATCATTACAGGTGACACCCCCCCCATCTTGGTAAACATTCTTTTGTGACATTGTTATTGATTGCTTGATATCCACAGAGGGGCAGAAAGGTGATGCTTAGTAAAAGAGTTAAGATAGTTAATGAAACTTTGTATCCCTTGGGAAAATTTTGTCTTTGTTTTGGAAACTCCTTTGCGTTTTTAAATTCTGACCTTAAGATTTTTAAAAAATGAAACCTCTTGTGTGGAACCGTGTCGCTGACTAGTTTTTCCGTAGACTATTTCTACATAGCATAGCATGTTAGTGTCTTAGGTGACCAGGATCGTTTTTAGAATAATTTTTTTTTGGAATTCTTGAGTGACTTGGAAACGTTGAAAAGGATTATTATATGTTTAGGAAAATTAGCGGTACTATGAAATGGAATACTATGATTTAGATTTTCTTTCATTCTTCCCCTTTTTTGACTGTTTATTTGACAAATTTCTTATTCAGTTGTATGTGATACAGTTTAGGTAATAGATTTTGTGATTCAGCTTTATTTTTTTCTCCCAGGAATATTTTCATATTGCAGTTTATTATGAGGTCATCTTTTATTTTTAATGTTTACTTACCCATAGAGGATCCTTAGTTGGTGGTTATTTAAAACTAAAATAATGCTCTTCATAATTATTGCTTTTTAATAATGATATTATAGGATGGCCTTTTAGGTAATGTGGCTTCTGCATAATTTGAGTTTGGCATTTATCATTGCTCCAAATGCGATATCCAAATGTGGATATTCTGTGTTATGTTCAGCATTCTGAAATAGGAAATGCAGTAATTGCACAGGTGTACTTTCTATTGGCTATCTCAGATTGACTTCAGGCTTGAAACTGAAGAGTTTGCAGAACTTTGTGGGTAGTTACTGAGTTACACAGAAGTCTAGAAAATATTAAATATGGTTAGTTGTTATGTATTGTGTGTGTGTGATGGCATGTATGTCAGAGTACATTTTTAAATAAAGGACTAAAATACAAAACAAAGTAAAATAAAATTAATCTCCAAAACTGTTGATTTAGTAATGTGGTGAGAAGTAGAGAATTTTATATTTATGGTGATATTCACTTGCTTATTTCTGTTTGTAAAATTGAGAGGAATACTGTTAATACGTGTCCTGGTTTTCTGGTGATCAGTTTGAACCATTTGGCTTTTAGGGTGTTTAAAATACACATTTTAAAGGTATGCCTGATATTTATTGGGTTGATTGACTGACTGAAATTTAATATCCAGAAGGTGCTGTGTGACATATATGGTTCATGAGATGTGTGTTTTTTGAAGAATT